GGCTCGGCTCGAAATCGGATTAAGGATGCCTCGAAGGTGTGGGCGTTTTCTTTTTTATTCGCTCCTTTTTGCTCGTTGCCGCAGAAAGTCAAGTGAACACGAGAGACTCGAGCCGACAGAGGGGGCACTGACCCGCAGAGCCGCGCCTCGCGAAACGCGTCTGCAGATGCTGCTTTTGATCCACCGATCTCCGATATTTTTCCACCGTCCACCTACTTTTCCTTCCCGCTCGGAACCACGTCGATTCCAACCTGGCAGATACGCGCAACCGGTGTACGCCGGTTGCTGGGTAGTCGTCGGGTGAAGATTTTTCGCGCGACGTCGCCACCGTTTCCACGAGTTTGCGGTCGCTGCTCCCTCGCGTTCCTCTGTCACTCGAACCACGACCTTTGCTACCACGCGCGATCTTTTCGCCGTTTTTCCTTCTCCACCGTCCCCTCCTGCCACACGGCTTCTTCTACGCGCTTCTACGTGATTCTCCACCGCACTTGCAAATTCCAAGCAATGTTCTCCCGGCGAACACGTATACCGAATCACTTTGACGTCGCTCTGCCACGACAGAGTCAAAGATCCAAAGTTGACTCGGAGCACACCACTAACGACACGAGGATTACACCGGTCGGAGGTGCACAGAACAAACACGTCGTTGGTAAAGCGAGTTGACCAAACCCGGTCATCGGACGATCGACATGGAAACGTGTTCTTTCGGCTACCGTTGTTTTCCCTGCGCGTTAGGTGTCGATCGACGTAACCGGATCGTTCCTCGCAAACGTTACACGACCGGGTTCCTCCGATCTCTCGCCAAATCGGGATCCATGGAACAACCGGCGGTCTTACACCACGTCCATGGAAACTCGATCGTCGTCGAATCGGACTGGTCGTAGTTCGTATCGCGATCGGATTCACACTCGCGCGCGCGACAGTGCCTCTCGCGTGCTCGCTCCCACGTACCGAAACGTCCGTTTCACCGGGGGTGAGAAAGATCGCGAGGGATGGACACGAGACACGAGAAGAGGAGACGAAAAGACGCGGCGCGCGCGCGACGAGCAACGAGTAGAAAGGAGATAAACCGGGAATGAAGAAAAGAAACGGAATGAAAGGGGGGAAATGGGAAAAGAAAAAAAGAGAAGAAACACGCGCACACACGTACACAAGAAGAGCGAAAAGAAGGAGTAACGTGGGCCGTGAACGCGACGACGTAAGGCCCCGAGAACGTACGACGACGAAGAATATCACCTTCCCGAGGACTGACCTGACTCGACTGAACCGAGACGGTCCCAGAACCTTGCCGCTGCCGGGAGAAGCATTCTTCGGGCTGGCTGACGCCGTCCCTCTCCGATCCATCGGTCCCAACGCATGCTTCCGTTTCTCTCGCTCTTCCCTCATTCCTCTCTCCTCTCTCACCGTTTACCCCCCGCTCTTTTGCCCCGCGCTCGCACACCTTCCATCGATATCACTTTTTCTCTTTCTTCGAAGAAACCTTCGGGTTCTCCTCTTTCTTTCTTCGCGGGTACCGTCTTTCGCGTTTCTTCTCTATTCTATACGCGAACACACTTTGTCGGCCTCTCCCACTCGCTCCCACTCCCTTTGCCACCCTTTTATCCCTATCTTTCCTCTCGTTTCGACTTTGCACGAGCTTTTCATCTTTCCTCCTGCTCCGATCTTCCTCCTTTCTCCGTCTTTCTTTCTTTCGTTCCTCTGCACATGACTCGCCTTTCTTTCCTTCCTTTTTCCCACCTCCGGACCACCTTCTCTCTTAGGTATTTAGAAAAACCTCCTCTGGGCCCGTAGTCTCTCTTTTCTCTCCGATTTTCTCAGGCGACCTATCGACATCGCTTTTCCCCTCTGTTGTTTCTGCGCGCAACACCCCCTCTCGTTCTCTCCCTCCCTCGCGCGCGCGCGCCTTATCATCCTCTCTCTGTCTCTCTACCTCCGTCTCTTTTCTAGCTCGCACTTTGCGCTTCTCTCCCTCTCCGATCGATGTCGCTTCTCCGTCTAGCAAAGCATTCGCGAGTTCTTTTCCGAGACACTGTTCTCCGTCCTTGTCTGTCTAAGACTAGCCTTTCCTTCTCTCCTATTTCGTTCTAACAGTCCATCTTTCTCGCAACGGATTCTGTCGGTTTCGTTCCCCCTTTGGTATTCTTTCCTCCTTCACGCGCGCCATCCTTTTTCGATCGACTATTGATAACGCTTTCCCTCCTTGTCCAGAGAAACATTCGCGAGTTTCCCTCTCTAAGCCCTTCTGTTTCTATCTCTCTTCTACCCAAGCTCCTCCGTTCTCGGCGTCTCTGTCTGTTCCGGTAGTGTCTCCATCTCGCGCCGTTCCTCTCTCCGTCTATTCTAACGACTCGGCAATCGGCCGTCCTTTTCCCTCCCAGGACACGCTAGTTCAACCACCGACATACTGGTTCCCCTCCGTGGGCCCTACGTGGGCCCTACGTGTCTCTTCCCTGCCTTCCCCGCCCTTCCCCCCCGAAAGTGGCTGAGCCCCTCGTAGCGCCCTCGTTCCCCGTCTCTGTCCCCGCGGCCGTTATCCTCCCACCTTGGACTCTATCCTCGCGCATCCCAGCGTCGTCTCGCGCTGAGATATTCTCCCTTTTGCCCTCAAGGAACGAGCAATGCGGAGGCTCAGGTATGCAAGATGGCCGCCGCTGAGAAGCGTTCGCGACGAGGACCGCTTACGGGCGAACCAGGGAAACGTGGCTCGGACTAAAGGAACAAGGAGGGAACGATTGAGATGAATAATGCGTGGGGGTGGAGGGGAAGCGAATCAGGAGAGAGCAAGAGAGAGAGAGAGTGGCAGTTAGGATGACAGGGGTGTGGGGCGGCGTGGAAGAGAGTGGTACGAGGGGTCTAGAACCACGATGCCGTAGATATATATCCGCGGCCCTGTAGCCACTTTTATAACTAATCCGTTACCACGATCGAACGCTTCGCTCGAACTTTCCACCTCTCTTCCCTCTTCGCTCTCTTCCGTCTTCTTTTTCTCTTCGTCGTGAGCACAGCCGCGCGAGCTACACGCGCGACTAGATTCTCTTCGCTGTTTTCCTTTAATCTAGTTTACTGGGTACCGGCCGCTATATGGGTACCACGACCCCGCCTCCATCTCGCGGCTCTATGTACCGATTACTGTATCGATACCTAACCCGATTTAAGTATATGCACCCATCGTCGTTTCCTTCTTTTTCTACGCTTCTTTTTCTTTTTCCCCTCTGACTTCTCTAGTCGCGAAACGTAACACAAGATCTTGAACGGAACGTCGCGTGGGTAAGATAAGCACGTGTACAATCTTCGAACATTTACGGAATTACCCAGCGAAAAACCGAAAGTATGTATGTATAGTACTAGCCTATACGCACGGAGGGGTATGCCGTGAGAAATTTAGAGATTCTAGTTTGAACTTGTGACAGTGTAAAGGTTTCGTATTAATATATACGTCGTTCTGCATTAACGAACGTATTTCAAACTTTTCAAATACGAATTATTCGATTAAAAGTATCGGAAGGGCTGTGATCGGAAATTATTTATTTCTCTTTTTCTCTCTTTTCCCATAAAGTGCTGTCCAACTTTTTATTAAGATGACGTTTTTATGATATTACGTTGACTTCTTGGTTTCGGAATAATTCGAAATATTTGTCGCAAGGGAGGGTGCGGCAAGATATCGCCGGCACCGCATGCTTAATATCTGACGTTTCAGTACTGCGTCAACGGGCATGCGCGTGCCATTTGTTGGTCCACGATATTCGAAAGGTTACGATCCGAAAATGACAAAAGATCCTGACATTTATTCGGATGATACGCGTCGCAATGGTTTGACGAATTTTACAATTTATCTCGTTGCTCGAATGGTGTGGGGATCACTAGCGTGAAAAGTTGACGTGTTAAAAGTAATTTTCCAGAATGTAAGTGTGATTAATTGCTCGCGAGATATGAACGAGAGTACAAGACATAGTAAACAAGTAGTAATAACCATGAAAAGTCAGCCAAGACGAGTTGCTGCAGGAATAACTAATCTCGACATAAAAGATGATTTATCTACGACGTGCTTCTCACAAATAAATATAATAAATCTGATAGAAAACGAAATAATTGTCGTTACTATTTAATTTTTCCGTGCTTCGTGTATGTTAAATCTTCCGTGGTCTTCGATGAATAGTATATCGCGTACTCTTGTTTCGGATGTATCACGATACTTGACACTGCTTTTCGAATATTTCGTTGCACTAATGGATAGAGTCTTTTCCTGCAATTTAATCGTCCACGATGATTTATTCGATCGCATTGACACGTATCCGTAGAATTTTATTTGTGCTTCTTTACTTCACACGGCTTACCGATTTTACGATAATCGAGATTTTCTATATTTACAATAACACGATACATCGTAATTCGTCGAAGGAAAGCACTATTTAACCTAAAAATAAAAATCTGATCACTCCTCGGATAGGTAAGCGTAACGATCGTCAACGCGGTCTTTACCGTACCATGATACCTCGACTGAGCGGGAAAAGGATCGTGACAAACTTCTTAACGACTTATTTTGCGAGGCGTGGCCATAATAAATTCATCTACGATCGTTCCTCACTCAAAATGGCTTTATGCGCCCACTTGTTCAACGTTATTTCATACTGTTGCTATATACGGGACAGCATTATTTGCAAAACAGTAAAATACTGAGTTGCGATGAACCACGTGGGCGTTGCACGCAACAACTTCGTCGTTTTACCCAACTGTAACGCATTCTTCGCTATTCATCTTCAGTTAGTGATTAAGTCGAACAACCATAGATAATGTATCGACCGTCAGTCCCTTAACGACTAGCTTAAAGAAGAAAAATGAAAAGAATCGAGGTAGAAAGGAAAAGAAATACCTCGTCCTTCATTTTATTACAAAATATCGAAAATCGCTCTGACAAAAATTTATTCTATGTAAAAAGAAGTAAAATGCATATTTTATTATATACATCTGTACAATAAAAGATCTTAATACTAAGGAGGTGCCTATTTCCTAGGTGCTCCATACGCGTCTGGCATTCTTTCTATGGTATACCTATGCTGAGAAACATACATTATAGGTACACCTGGTATTTTTCGTATCCTTCTCTTTAGATCCTTGTCATTGGTTGCCACAATATAGCATTTGTGCTAGAAAATTATAAGATTTATAAATTTATATTAAAAGTGGCATTAGATAACCTCATGAATTTAGAAATAATTTAACTTACTTGAGTTACCCTATTGACGATACAATCATCTGCATAAGTTCCTTTGTGCATGCAGTTTAATCTCTCGAACCTAGGATCTTTTATAATCCTTAAAGCTATTTTATATTTTTGACCTAGCTTTTCCAATTCACCGATCACGCAGTCTGTTACATATGGAATGCATTTTGCATAAAGACATTCCATCATATTTTCTATGATGTCTAATTTATTTTTAACCGAGAAGTTTATAAAATTTGTGTCTATCAATATATGATAGGGTGGGCCCAATTGTGTGTTATATTGAAAGAACAATGCAGAGGACTGTTGTGGCCTGTAATATGATATAATATAATTTACCATAATAATAATATTTTATAGCTTCTATAGAAGTATTACAGTAAACGAGTAAATAATATGACATACACTTCTCTTATTTTAAGTTGAGTTGGGTCTTCTTTCTTAGTCTTTCTTAATGGTCTACGAAGTTCCGGTTTTCTAGAAATATTAAACTAACATCACGTAAATGATATCTACATACAGCAATAACACTTAATTTTTTATAATAATGAGAGTGAATAGAAGATCACTTACATTCTTGAATCTCTCAGGTTTATCATCTTCTTCATCTGTGCAAACTTTTGCATAACAACTTTTCGCGTTCTTCTATTTTTCCCCTGTATATTACAAATAAGTAAAAAAATAATTTTGTCCCATATAGTATAAATTAAACAAAATTATTATAGCATTTGGTTACAAAAATATAACCAAAAATACGCATCTTAGATATTTCATAGAAAATTTAAAAAACAATATTTTACGAAAGAAACATTATTTACCATCTTTGTTTAATGTTTAACAATCTACTGTGTTTAAAATCAAAATTACAATAATACATTAATCATCCAATCTCTCCTCTCGAAATATTGAAAACCATGCACAAAAACCTTCCTAGTATTACCAACATAATAACTTCTATTTATTTTTTCATCATGCATACCAACCTAGAATGTTCAATCTCGTGCTATGAATACGGATTAAATAATGACATATTGAAGCAAATGTAATTGAAATTTCTTTACCTTTTAATGTAAAAAATGTTTACATTACAAATATTTACATGATATAACTGACAAGAAAAGTGCAAGTCCTTCGGGTCATCGATTTAGTTAAAACTTTGCAGGTTTGTAGATTTCGTCATGCAATTCAAGAAAATATATCATTATAGCTGAAACTACTCCATAGTTTTCGAAATAATTATAATTAAAGTTCTGCTACTCCGTTAATTACAGCTTTATTTCCAACACATTTTAGTTGGCTTTGTAGGTTAACGATGACAGTCGAACATTCCTAGGATTAAAGGTCGGTGTTCGATTCTCGTCCAGAGTCGGTAGCTTTTTTTTTTGAATATGTTTTTTATTTTGTATTCATTTTTCGTCTATGAAAACATTGTAAATAAAAAATTATAAATAAAATTTCTTAATAAGAAAATTAATTTTTTACACTTTTTTATGTTAGTATATATTTGTTACGAAATAATAAGAATACTATGCAAGAAAAACAGTTTTCTATAGCAATACTATTTACTGCGAAAGGAATACAAAATCATCAATAATCATTATATATAGGAAATACAAAACCTGTCGCACATGGAAGCTTGGAAATTGATTAATTTTCTACTGCCGAATTGATTTATTATAATGTATTAGGAGCGCATACCTAAAAGAGGTATCTAGTTCAAATAAAAATTTTACCGCTTGCGATCAGCGGCATCTATGATTTTGGACCCGAAGCTCAGAAAAGTAATAGGAACACAGAATAGGCGAGGAGGTCGCCGAAGAACTGGTCACGTGATAGACAAAGACAGCATGCTGCCATGCAATCAGAGTTAGTAAACTATTCGTGTAACGTCAGAGCTATCTGTGATTTTAAGCTCGAAACTCATGTTCCGCAACGGGAACACAGATGGCGCGAGGTGTTTGTTCCATTAAGCTCCTTGTTTATTCTGTGTTCCTATTACCGAACCCGAGCTTCGAGCCCAAAATCATAGATGGCTCTGATATTACTCAAATAGTTTACTAACTCTGGTTATGTGCTCCTGATACATTTGAATAAATCAAATCAGCAGTGGAAAATTCACAAATTACTCAATATCTGTGATTAATTTATAAACTTTTATAATTGCATCGTAAAGGCAGATCCCTCAAGAACTTTTCAATATAATTTTGGATATAAATTTGTCGCTAATTAATTAATTATTAGTGATTATTGCACAGAATGTTTGAATTCTTGTCGTACATACCAATAGCTTTTCATTAATTAGTATCTTTTGCGCAATTAATTTATGAACTTCATGTACGCATTATATAAACGGCAACCTAGGGCATGTTCTATCTGTAGTAAATAAGTTTGCTATAGAAAACTGTTTTCCTTGCACTGTATTCTTATTATTTAGTAACAAATATATACTTGCAGAAGAAAGCGGAAAAAATTAATTTTTTGATTAAGAAATTTTATTTATAATTGTTTATTTACAATGCTTTCACACACGAAAAATGAATACAAAATAAAAAATATATTCAGAGAAAGCTACGAAACTACAAATGATGGGTCCGGGGGAGAATCGAACTCTGACCCTCCATGATACGAAGTCTCGACCGTTCCCGTTATGCCACGACAGTAATTGAAATCTCGTGTAAATAAATCTAGGATTAAGATGTAAGAAGATTTTAATCATAACTGTTTCGAAAACTATGAAGTAGTTTCAGCTATAATGATATATTTTCTTGAACTGCATAACGAAATCTACAAACCTGCAAAATTTCAACTAAATCGATGACCCGGAGGACTTGCACTTTCCTTGTGAGTTTGAACATTATTCTTGCGCGGGCTTTTTATCATTGGCCGGAAGTAAGTCAAAGCGTCTTCTCTAATTGAACCGCCATCTTCTTCCTGATTTATACCAGGGGAAAACGTTTCTGTATTCAATGAAAAATAGATTTTTATATTTTGCTAAATCGGATTAAGTGCAAGTTGAATTTGACGAGTTACAGTTCTTAACATTTCATTTTTACTATCAGTGCAGATATTACAAATGTAATTTAATGAATTATATAAAAAAATCATTCATGTTCTAACCTCTTAAAGACTGCAATGATTATTGCACTTTATTTACAAGGCTTTATTGTGTAACGTAGAAAAGATGCCAAGAAAACCGAATAAAATCTCATGGGGTGGCCGTGGTGGAAGATCCGGAAATTTTGACGATGCACATTATTTTGGTATAATTTTAACTATTAATTGTATTACTATATTATCATTGATTTACGCAGTAAGTGCAAGAAAGGGCAGTCACGAGTTTATTAATTTTCCGTTTTACACAGCTCATGATGATCGTATACCAAGAAGTGATGGAGGTTCATATCTTGGAAACAGACCTAGAGTATCATTTAAAACACAAGCTAGACCAACAAGGGATGTGCCTAGAAGCTTGGCATCGGCATGTTTAGATGAAGACGTTCAAATGGCAACAAATTCCAATAACAATAATAGACAAGTTATTATAACAGGTAGAAACAGAGGTACTTTACGTGGAAGAAATAGTCCTGTACCTTATAGAAGATTTAGGATGCCATTGGTTCCTAGAATAAGGCAACTTCCTCTTGGAGAACCTAATTGGTATAAAATTACTGTATGTATGCAGAATTATAAATCATTAATGTTCAATTAAATTGTGTTCCATCTATATTATACGAGTTATCTTTCTTTATAGGTACCATATGGACATAAATACGATAAAGATTATATAATAAATAATCTTCTTAGTTATATTGTACCAGAAACTTTTGTTCCAATAATGGTAATTATGAAACATCTTGTCTATATTTCATAATCAAAGATATACAAGTTTTAATGCTATGTAAAATACAAAAATTTGTTAACAGTACAAGGTAACTGGAAATGAAGCCAGTTTTTATGTAGACGATCGCAAAATTGCACTTGCTTTACTTGATTGTGATAGAAAGATTACAACTACTGATGGATTCAAATTACAAGTAAGAGTTTCAAATCCAGCATTTCCTCAGTGCGAAATTGATAATAAGTTGAAAGAAAGACTGAAGCAAGCCATGGCTAAACGATATGTGCATGAGACAAATGCATTAGATTTGTCAAAGTTTCATAGAGACCCTGGTTAGTAAAGTTTAAAATAACTTTTTAATAGTAATTTTCTTCTTAATACTGTTACAATAATTTTTATTATTATAGATCTCATCGCTGACTATTTTTGTGCATTATTCCGACCTGTAATGTTAAAAGTAGTATTAGATATTGTATCAGATTACATACCTAATTTGGAAGCACTAAATTTAGATGGGAATAAATTGCAATTTGTCGAAAAGTTAAACATTTTGAATAAAAAATTTACAAGATTAAAGATACTCTATATTGGAAATAATAAGGTGAATAACCTACAATAATACAAGTTGCGAGTATTTTTTTGTTTATATTATAATCTTTGGTTTGGTATGTGATTAACATTTTGTAGATAAAAGACATGAACCAACTAGATACTCTCAAAGATTTGAAACTGGAAGAATTAAAACTGGCTGGGAATCCCATATGTATCAAATATAAATCACGACAAAATGACTATATTAGGTAATGTATTGTTTCATTACAATTTATAATGCTACTAACAACTAACACATTATGCTTTAATAAAATATCAGATTGTTTTTTTTCTTTTCTTTTGTCAAAGTATCAACTAGATTTTTAATCTAATATAAAACGAAGAAATAATTGATTTTAAAAATGTTAAATAATCTGTGTATTTTCTCCTTTATTATACCTTTCAATAATAAGGCAAATATTTCTGTTATTACGATTAACTTGGAGCTTCTGGGCTTCTGGCTTTTCTTTCCTGACTACAGCGATGTGCGGAAACGGTTTCCCAAACTCTTGCGACTGGTAAAAATGATTATTAATAATCGTCTTAACAATTATAACACTTCATAAAATACAACATAATTGAATCTAATATTTTATAAGGACGGTATGGAACTTCCAAAGCCAATCTTGTTTGACGTAGTGGACGAAGGAAACAAAGTACCCCCTTCTCGGAGGATGTTCGTTGCAAACGCGAAAGCGCAAGAAATTGCTAGTCAATTTCTACAACAATACTTTCTTATATTTGATAGTGAAAATCGTCAACCATTGTTAGATGCGTATGTCGAACATGCGTGTTTTAGTATGTCAGTGTCTTACGCTTTTAATGCTAACAAGTACGTTCGTATATATAAATTAACATAGAGATAAGTATATGATTAGAGTACAACATATTTTAATGGTAAATGGGATATTGCAGATTGAATGGATATCTAATGGAAAGTAGAAATTTGTACAGAATTAATGATACGAATAAGAGACATAAGTTATTGAAACAGGGTCGTTTACCCGTTGTTTCGTTTATTTCTGAAATGCCACAAACTTCTCACTATCTAAACACATTTACGATGGACATCAGTTTAATAACGGTATGCTATTTTCTGTTGTAAATGAAAACAAGATTTGTTACTAGTTATTTTATGCATCAATTTCATTTTCTAGGCTGGAATGATGTTAATTACAGTCACAGGACTGTTCAAAGAACTCGATAAAAAGGAGCAGCCTATTCGATACTTCAATCGTACGTTTTTAATAGTACCGGAAGGAAGTGGTTACTGTATTCGAAACGAGCAGTTACATATCAGTCAACCGATAGACGCACAGTTGAAACAATTAAATAGTCAACCAGAGGCACAAATGACAGATTCAGGATCACAAGCTGCTTCAAGTAGTGGTACTGCAAAATCATTACCAGTACAGTTATCCGAAGATGTAAAACAACAAATGACGGTGACACTCAGTCAACAAACAAATATGAATTTAGAATGGAGTTTGAAGTGTCTAGAAGAAGTGTTATGGAATTACGACAATGCACTCTCAGCGTTTCAAGAATTCTACAAGCGTGGTCAAATACCTGCGGAAGCATTTAATAAATGAAAACAGTATATGAAAAAAGTAAGATTCAGTCAATTCTATTCATTATTTAGTTTTGTTGCATGTGTCATTACAGTACATCGTACTTTTAAGTTACAGTCAAAACGGAGACTGGGATTCATATTTTTTTCATTACAAAAAAAAAAAAAAAAAAAAAAAAAAAAAAAAAAAAAAAAAAAAAAAAAAAAATATAAAAAAAATAAAAAAATAAACGAAAAGAAAAAAAGACAAAAAGAAAAAGAAAAAAAGGGGAACGTTCTCGTTTTATTAACGGGCAATCGTTCATTATATTTTCGAAATCGGTATTCTTTTTTCTTTTTCCATTTTATAATCGTCTAAAATCATTGCTTGCCGTTTATGGATAAATACGTTTGTACAGAACAAAAAGAAGATTGTTGTAGAATATAAAAGAAAACCTATGATATTTTTAACAAGATAATATATTTAGCAACAAACTTCTTTTTGTGTCACTGAAATGAAAATATTCTTTGTCATTAATAGATGAAAAATGTACGTGTATAGTTTCCGTTCTACAAACAGTTATATTTTATAAGTTAGAATTTAGCAACTTATTTTTAAGTTTATGAAATTTCAGAGGAAGGTAGTACTAGCGCGAGACAATTTTTATTCTCATTTTTGTATGCGTTAAATTTCATGCCAGTCTTAATGACATATGTCCTTAGATATTCACTTTTGTATAGGAATACAAAAATTGAATACATTAAGTTCAATATTGGAAACACAAGAGATACTTAGACACCGTGTACTGCTAGTTCAGTTCTGTTTCGTATGTACATGATGATGTTTATTTCATATAGTCACTCAAATAATCTAACTGTATAATATGTTTGTCTCATTCTAAAATGCGTGCGAGATTGTGATCTACTATTTTAAAATAAATAAGACGACTCTCTGTTATTGTGTAATTGTTAGAGAATAGAATGTTTGTACCTTTTCTAATTATACAGTCTCAAGTGAAATAAACATTATTATGTGCTCTGCAAAGGTGGGAAAAGGTTCTACGGAAGGAATGCGGGACTAATCATAGTTAAATTGGAATACAAAACGTCACGTGAAAAAAAGAAAGCGAACGGAATAAGTAGCGTTTGGTTAAATTCAACCAAATTCAGGAACCAGCAGTTGAACTCTCATGAGCGAAGTAGACCTTGTTCTCGGAATTGAATCGAGCATAGCTACATAAAGAAAGAGAAAAAAGATCTGATGAGAGAAAGTGAGATAGATTAAATACGTCAAGCAGCGATAGGTGAACCCCGAGACTTCAATGGGACATCACCAGTAGAACCACGATTATGCAATAAAGAAATTTTTATGTTATCTTTGTGAAAGTAGTATCAAGACATTGTTGGGATTCTTCCAATTAATATGAATTTAAACACGATATAAATTATTATTATAATTAAAATTAATCTAATATTGGTAATAAAGTGATACAATAATGACATAATCGTCTGATTTGTATGGTGTCGTTGGGCCCATTTTAATTAAGAAAATCCCTAGAACACATTGGTACTATTTTTAGAAATGTAAGATAAAAATTACGAAAAATTTTCTTTATTGCGTTCACTCTTTTCAATAGCGTCATTTTTTGTATTGCATTTGTGTCTTTTTCTCTCATTTAATCGATTTTTTCTCTTTGTTATCTGAATGGTAAGAGGATAATGAGAATGTAAATTTAACCGAGCAGATTTTGGTTGAATTTAATCCAACACTACATCGAGATCCAGTGGGATAAAACGATAATTAGCGATACAAAATATTATATTACAAGTAGATTCAAAATATTAACCATTAACATAATATAAAAATCACAGTGATGTAACCACTATGTCAGTATATATTATTAAATGCCTAGACATAGGGGGGCTAAACAAATATGAAATCAGATGAAACTAGCGAAGAATTCCTCTGGCCCTTATTCCGTTCTGCAGAACTGTTTTCCAATATAGTAATTGAGAAAATTAGTTTACATTAAACTTCGCTAGATTACAATTTAATAAAAGAATGTATGATCTTATAAAAATCATATTATATCTTACTTCATATCTTGCTGGTTGATCATATTCAATAATACTATGTTATATAATTGTTTGAATATCTAAAACAATGAAAAAATCTAGTATACCGTGAAATGAAGGTTTATTCTATAACGAATTTTTTTAGTGAATTCGAAACTAAAATCATTATGATAACATATTATCATTGCAAAAAAAATTCAACATCGATAGTAAAAAACGCAATTCAACCAGCTAGAAATGTTTGAATCATTCAGTGAGAATTGAAATACTATGTTCGCTTTACACGTACAAGGGTTGTTGCGAATCGTATACACGAATACACTATTCCTATTTATTAATGCGCCGGTTCAATTAGTTGTGTAAATCCAAAGATTAGTTACAGTTTGTGAGCATAAATTACTTGTTGGTGCCCATAAAGAACACGCGTCTAACGAAACAAGATTACTTTATCACGATATGTATATCCAGAGGATAAACATAATTAGCCCTCAAAGTTTATTCAGTTTGTTCATATCTGGAAACGGTCGACTCGCCATAGCTTCTTTGTGACATGAAGAACACTGACAACAGGAGATAACAGTCCTGGCGAATCAGTTGGGAATCTAACAAACAAGTTTGATCTCCTCTTCCTTGTCGAAGCTTGTCGACGTAAGACAAAATGCCCTACGACGAGCGGCCACACAATGTCCGCAATGTTAAAAATTAACATTAACATCGAAGAGGGCAAAATGCAATTTGCTCTTGCAGATTGATTACACAAAAACTTTTGTGCAGTGCTGATGTCGATCAGGCAAAAGCTGCAATCGCACCTCCATTGTGTGTCTTTCTAAAAGACAGAGTAAATCATACCAACAAACAGAGCTGATCTAAACATATAACAACAAAACTAGGAAATGGAATTAAATGTATTCAATGTAATCACAGTTTAATGGAAAACATTATTCTATAATATAGAAAATTATTTTTGCAATTGTATAAATTCAGAATGATTCATGTGTAACCGAAGAAATAGTTTATGCTCACATACTGTACAAATTTTATTGAGATGACGAAAGTATATGTGATTATACTATAAAGTTTTCTAAAAAAAAATCTTGGAAAGTCTGTTTTAACGAATTATAGATCTTTTTTTGCTTCATTGCATAAGAAGAATATAAGAGAAAAAATCATTTTTTACTACTGTTGCATGTAATGGTAAATCGATTCATCAGGCACTGTTATTAATATTTTAATGTTTGAATTATTATACCACAAACAGTGCAAATTATTGCGTACGTTTATCACCTTCCAATTAAAAAAGGGATGTAAATAGATACGGATTGATGTACATGTTTAAGATACGTTTTTAGCATTATATGTTCTTGTCAAATTGAAATATTTAAATACAATGTACTAATTGTAAGTACATAACATACAATTAATAAAACTAAATATTTGTATACATATATGGGCATTTTTCATCGGAAACAATGAATATAATGTAAATAAAACTTAGAAATTTATTAAATATAATCCAAATTTTACAGAATATGTGTATAACATTTAACGTTATTTTAACATTTTTAAAGTACTTTTTATCCACTAAGTATTAGGTACCTTCAGATTTAGTTGTAATTGTGGTTCCATTTTCCATCACCTGTGAATAAAACATTAATTGAATTTTATTTTCGAACTTAAAGAATGTCATATAATACTTACTTCGTTACTTTCTTGATTCATTAAGTTTTGCTTTCCTTTACGTTTAAAGAAACCCAACTAAAAAAAAATATTATTGGATAGAATGCATTATAATAATGTATAAAAAATGAAAATTTTACCTTGTTTAAAATTATAACAAATATAGATAGCAACAACAATCCTACTAAAACAGAAACAAGAACAATCCATAGCTGTAGTTCTTCCATTTTGGGAATATTATAGAACATTGTCACAACTTCTACCATAGATCTGTAATATAATTTTGAAATTATTTGAAATACTATTTAGATACAAATATTTATAATGTGAAAGTATAGTATTTATAGTATTTACCGGGTATCATTAACATGTAATCTCACAGCAGGTTTTATTATTTCTGTGCCTGCCTCGGTAGTGAATTTTAAAACAACTCTATTGTTACTAAAGTTACCTTTAGGTATTGAAAAAGTGTAAACAAATTAAACATGGTCATATATTACTGTATATATTAAGTATTATAGTTAAAATATAGATTAAACAATTACCTTTAAGTTTATCAACGTCTAAAAAAAGTTTAATTACTATCCTTGCAGTATCTTGTAATGATTTTAGCAAACTTAAATCACACATAATGGTCATACAATTTACATTAAACATTGAACAATTCATATAAATAATCTCATTTGTCCAATTACTGTTCAATGTTTCTGGAGATTTAATATTTCCATCATAGGAATGTACAGCTGATTCTTTTAAATCTCTTTTGTTTACCGCATGAACGTTATCCTGTCGCATTTTATTTGAATACATAGACATATAAAACTGATCTAAAGATGGCTCCTCTTGAACTTCATCTATTCTAGTGTCCAATAGTGTACTCTCTGAGGAGCATTCAAGAAATTTCCCTGATATGTATACCTGAAATCATATTTTATCAATAAATTATATTTATAAGGATAAGTCTATATTTTCTTACTTGAGGTTTATACACGTGTATTAAAGTATCTGAGTCATTAATAGCTAATGGTACTTTAACAACGAGCCGCGCATCCTCTATAGGTGATGCTCCTAGTTTATACACTTGATAAGCATGTTGAAAAGTAATATTTGGAATAATTTTGTTTGAAGTAGATACGTAGTAAGCTTCTTCATTTGCTTTCCTGAAAAAAAAAAAATTAATGCAAATGCATATTACTTTCGTAAAAAAACATAAATATCTACATAATACGAACCCATGCAAAGACAGAGAAACCTCGTTTACTAAATTAAGACTTTTCACTACATGCTTCATTCCACGATTTATACTACGAGTTTGTATCGTTATCTGGAAATCTAATTTATGGTCATATAACGATGCATTAATTAAGTGTTTCATATCCAAATCAAGCTTGACACTTTTCTGTGACAAAAAAGAAAAAGGTAGAAATATCTATTATCATACATAATAATAGAATCTTTTGAAAACTTTGCGAGATACCTCCTCCTCCTTCCAAATAGGATTGCCCATACCACAGATTACTATTAAATTTTCTTTAGAGGCGTCTTCCTGACAAGAAGTTAAAATGCTACGTAACATTACTCCCACAGGAAACGTGAACTCGAGCATGGTAAGATACGCAGGTTCTTCGTGATTCTTTAAATTAATCTCTAAACTTATATCGTTTGAGCCAATGACCCACGTATCATTATGTCGTACATTATGAAATTTCGCAGTAACAGATATATTGGAGTTACAAATTTTGTCTTCTCCACAATCAATGTTGAAAGGAAGTAAAACTTGTGCAATTTGGGGTTGGCTGTTTTGTTTTTCAACAGCACAGATTTTGCAAAATGCACGCGATGAGTTATGTAAAAATTCATGTTTCGCAAAGATGCTAATTGGTTCGATAAAATCTCGTATATCTTTCTGTAAAGATTAAAACTGAATGACTTATAAGCTATGACTATAAGTTATTAGCAGAAAAATAAATTACCGAATATTACCGAAATATTAACTCGAGTGGAAAGACAGGTGTCCGATGTTAAATTAGATTTTAATTGTAAAATTGTTTGTTCAGTCCGTTGATAACGTTCGTCTACAATGATCGTGATCTTAGATTCTATAAATGAAAATAAATCATGAATCTTTGAAAAATATAATTTACCTTTAGATAGAATTAATTCAAATTTAATTTTATTTAAAGACTCGTGTAATAGTTTACCTTTTTTACTTTGAATCTTATATTCGGTGTATCTTGGACATATCTTAACTAAAAAGTACTGAGCATTTCTTTGTAAAGTATCAGGTATAGTTTCAATAAAAAGTTCTGTTTTCACTACCGGTTTACTACGTAGTATTAGAATATGTCCTGTTTTATATGCTCCAACTGCGATATCCAAATACCTACATGTCGAAAATTAATGATTTGTATCTAACTAAAATGGTAACATTGGAAATTGAGTTTTACTAACAGATTTTGATCAATATCAACCGGTTTTGATAATGAAAAGCCAAATGTCTGTATTTTTTTTGATACATTTTGAGGAATAGATATTCCTGCAACTTCGATTCGTTGTGATACGTGTAAATTCGTATTCTTCAAATCTGGACCACCATTGAATATATAAATCACTCCATCATCTTCCCAAGGCGTACCCACAATAATATCTATTATAGTAAGAAAATGTATTTTACAAAGACCTAAAACATTTGGTATGCATAAACGAATTCGAATTACCATCGAATCCATCGGCATCTAAATCACCACTAGTTATGCTATATCCAAAATGACCTCCCTCTACGGTCCCCTGTAAAGTTGCAGCAATTTCAAACTGTCCCTGTAAAAAAAAAAAAACTTTAAATAGAACTGATAAAATGGATTTTCATTACGTACTCACGGACTTTATCTAATTAACGTAATCGCTACTGTAATATTTTCTATGTAAGTTTACGAAATATTTCTTACTTTAGATGTACCGAGATATGCATATACTCTGCCAATGTCTTCTCCCCAATAAGGTGCTCCGACTAGAAGATCATCTAAACCATCATTATTTAAATCTCCTACAGCCAAACTGGCTCCAAAAAATTCGCCAATATGCGTGCCATATAACGTTGTAACGATAGGTGTAGTTGATGCCGGATCGATTATTCCTACCTAGAAAAAGGAATTGTTTATATATTTATATTTATATATAACATATATTAATAATATTATATATATAATATAATCTCAGAATATTATTAATTACCAGGCCTACATATCGCCAACCAGGCGCTCCACTGGCGAACAGTAATTGATCGCTTTTAAAGAAGTAACCGGACTCAACGCTGTAGCCTATAAATATATTTTTTTTATTATTATTATATAATTATTATTGCATACTAATGATAAAATTAAATTTGTTAGTGTGAAACCAAAGTGTCGTACCAAACTGAGATAAGTCATCATTTGACGGATACTCTATAGTCACGTTCTTATTTGCGTACGTTATATCTACAGTTCCAGAAGACTCATGTTTCGGTTCTCCAACAATGCGATTTATTTTCATGATCTTCCTATCCTTTTTATCTTCATTTCTCTAGATTTTATCATAAATTATTTATTCGGTGATCACGAGTATAGTAACACAGAATATCATAGAGATACCTTTGCTGAAGGATAATGAACAGAAAAACCATGCATGGGATTGTACCAAAATGGCCTCTTGAAATCTGATCGATTTAAATAATACGATTATTTAATGTATCAATCATAATTTGAATTAAGTTAATCATATACCGTGAGTCTGAAGATCCTTATCTTCGATGAACAACTCATTCGAAGAAACTGCTCCGCTGTAACACATCCCCTGCATGGTTTCCAAATTGATACCTGATAAAAGTACCACAATTGTCCGTGGTGCGCACACCTAAAATTAAAATGTCACTCGAAAATTTTTTCCAGTAAAAAAGGATCATCGGTAATATCTTACTCACAGTTAAAATTCCATTTATCTCGTCTATAGAAATTGCACTTCCGAACCAGCCGTATTGCTTTCGTATGAACAAATTCAAATTGAGTTGTGCCAGGTGTCGTTCCTCGTTTTTGATTATTTTTGGTTTAATTTCTTGACAGCTACCAGTTTTAATCGGACAACGGTACACGACACCAGGTTCGGTCATATTTGTTGAAGGCACAGAATAGTTTCCTTTCGGCGCTCCGACTATGTACCTTTCGTGATTATTACGTGAAATTAAATATTTCGAAAATAATTTTATTCAATATTTAGATACAAAGAACAATAAACGTTACCAAGATGTATGAGAGCTCGGCTCATAATAGAGATGTACGATATAACCGAAATAATCACTGTTATTAGTATTCCTGCTATGACCAATAAAAGGAAAATCTATGTCTATGTTATATCCACCTGCTATTCCAATAAACAATAAGAACATTTCTTTAACGAGCATTTTCCGAACTTCTGTCACAAGTTCGAACTTAACGGGCCTCGCATGGAAAAACTATAAACTGTCATAAATTTTTATTCAACGACAGGAAGCCGGGTGATAAGGCAATCGCTAAAAAATGCATCATCATAATACAATTTAATCGTGACTAATAAATTATTTATTTCATCAGACTCATTATGGTATTACAAGGACATGCAAACAAAATTTATAATTTCATTTAAGATCCAATACATAAAATACATATATTTTATTATATCCCTTTTGTAATATGCCAAATAATCTTCTAGATTCTTTGATGGTAATTTAGAATTTTAATATATATTTATTGTTTATAGATTTTTCACGTAATATATTATACTTTTAAGTAATCCAGAATAGTAAGTACCATGACTTACTCCCTTAATTCCAAAGCCTTAGGCATTAATGCCTAATAAATTAATGGTTGTTAGTATTAAAAGAGATAATATTATTGACTGAAAACAATAATATGATTACACATTTATGAAATATAATTGAAGTAAACTTATAGTGTTTACAATATACAATTACAATTCATTGTACAAAAATTATTTCATATGACAATTCATAAGCTGATCATTATTTTTAAGGAAGCTGAAAATGTCAGGAAATACGATAATGTTCTTATCCTAAAATTTTTTAAATGTAACACTATTCTTATTAAAAGAAATTATATTTTATTTTCATACATAGATTGATAATGTACATACTAATAATATAAAAGCAGTAGGAGCTAGTACATTGAATATACGATGGATTATAGCAACTATCACATTAATATCTTCAAATATTTTTATATCAGAATTTGTCAACTTCCTCAGTGCTCTGTCAATTATAACATACTTGGGATCACTTAATAGTACCACATTTTCTTCAATTTATACCATCACCTATGTGAATATATAAATTTATGATCATGTGAAACAATTATATTTTTAATTTGATTAAATTTTGTTTGGATATGAACTTTATAAAATATTTTATTCATCTTAATCCTTTGGCCTTCACCAAACAAAATAAAAGTTTCCTTTGCTATTAGATCTTTTTTCAAATACATTACGCAATAAATAAATGAGACGAAAGATACAAATACTACCAAATCTAAAAATACATACATCAAATATTGTTTGTATTATATTCAATGTTTATAAATTATAAACACTATACTATAAAAAGTATGTTTCGTTATCCTATATGAGCTAAAATTTTGTTGTATTGAAATTGTTTCAACCACCGACATGTTACACAATAACTATGTACAAATATACCAGTTGTATATATAAAAAAGAATAAATTTTGAATTTCATGAAAATTTGGTATGTGAAGTTTTAAGTTGCCATTTCATCACTGATCTTTTATACTGATATTTTAGAAATGGTACTATAGAATAGACTTGTTTTGAAATATATTAGTGTTTTACCAGTTGTCAAATAAATATGTTTGAAATACGTTATTTAAATAGAGTATTTATTTATACATTGTAATCGTAGTATTACGATTTCCCAACAAATTTCTGGAACGGAAAATTATTTGACAAGTTTTTAGTAGAGATTTCTTTACGTAATGTTTATTTTGAATGATGATGTGCAAGGTTAGAATGCACCTTACTGGCACGAATCAAACGAAAAAAGAAAAATTTTAGGAAAAGAAAGGTGAAAAAGTTTATAATAGTGTAATGCATATGTTTACAGCTATACAAAAATACAATATTCTTAAAAGGAAAAAGTGTAAAACAAATATGCGAATAACGAATATGTCAAATGTTTTCTATAATGACATCAGTGTGTTGATGCATCAGCTGATATGTGTCAAAAAAGACCACCTTGCTTTTCTTCATGTATAGTTTTAGGTTGTTGAAACTTCAACTGTAACGATATACTTATGCACGAAGTTATTATATTGCATTAAAAAGAAAGAAAAATGAAACATTTCGATGATTTAAATGAAAGTTAAAATTTGATAATATATAGATATACTTTAAAATATAAATTTAAAATCTACGTAACATTGTTGACAATTCATAGTTATATGTATTATTAAAGATATGTTACAAGGTTACAATCGATTCTAGTTCAAGATCGATTAATAATAGATTCGGAATGATGTCAATCCAATTAAAATATAACTTTTATTTTCAAATTAACCTTAAATTATGGATATTTAACATATCTTACATTTAATAATTGTATGAAAAATGAAAAATGATGGAAATTATATTTATACGAGTATTACGTCTTAAATTTTGAATGTTCCCGTAAGATAATTAATATATTATTTATACATTAATTATTAAGATTT